ATATGTAGAAAACCCTAAGATTCCACACAAGACTGTTAAAATAAATAAATTCAGCAGAGTAGTACGATACAAAATCAACACACAAAAACAGTTGTGTTTCTATATAGTAATAATGAATATTCTGAAAAGTAAGGTAATACAATAATCCCATTTACAATAGCATCAAAAATAATAAAATATTTAGGAATTAATTTAACCAAGCAGGTAAAAATCCCTATGGTGGTTTTTGCAGAAATAGAAAAATCCATCCTAAAATTTATATGGAATCTCAAGAGACAATGAATAGCCAAAACAATAGAAGAATAAAGTTGGAGGACTCACACTTTCTGCTTTCAAAACTTACTACAAAGCTATAATAATCAAAACAGTGTGACACTGGCATAAAGAAACACTATATAGATCAATGGAATAATAGAAAGATCCCAGAAACAAACCGTTGCATATACGTCAAATGACTTTTGGCAAGGGTGCAAAGACCATTCAATGGGAAAATGAGAGTCTTTTCAACAAACGGTGCTGGGAAGACTAGATATCTACATGTAAAAGAATGAAGTCAGAACCTTATCTTACACCATATACAAAACTTAAAGTGGATCAAAGAGCTAAATGTAAGCACTAAAAATATAAAACTCTTAGAAGAAAACATAGGGGAAAAGCTTCATGACACTGGATTTGGCAATAATTTCTGGATATGACACCACAAAAAATCAGTTGTGATTCCATACACTAATAACAAGCTTTCAGAAAGAGAAATTAAGAAAACCATTCTATTTACAATTGCATCAAAAAGAATAAAATACCAGGTGAAAGAGCTGTACACTGAAAACTACAAGACACTGAAGAAAGACAGTGAAGAAGACATAAATAAATGAAAGCTATTCCATGCTCATGGACTGAAAGATTTAATATTGTTAAAATGTCCATAGTACCCAAACCAATCTACAGAGTCAGTGCAATACCTATCTAAATTCTAATGGCGTTTTTCACAGAAATAGAACAAACAATCCTAAAACTTGTGTGGAACCACAAAAGACCCTGAACAGACAAAGCAATCTTGAGAAAGAAGAACAAAGCTGGAGGCATCACACTCCTTGATTTCAAAGCTATAGTAATTAAAATAGTATGGTATTGGCATAAAAATAGGCCCATAGATTGATGTTAGGAATGATGAACCTACATTGATGCATCATAATGCCACTACGAAGGCAATTTTTGGCATGATGAAACAGTTCTGTGGAGGTGGATAAGTGACTCTATGCAGTCGTCAAAACCCACAGAAATTTACACTACAAACAGTGAATTTTATTCTATGCAAATTTTTAAAAAATCAACCAGGATACTGTGGGAACTCAGATGGAATGCAGTGACAAGTGGATGCAACTGTATTACAAATGTGTGACGTACCATATTGAAGGAGGTGGGAATGAAAGGTCCTGACCTAAGTAACTTTGGAAAACAGTGTTTTAACTGCAAACTGTAAGACTAAAGTACTGTACACAAACACTGTACTCTAGTTGGTCAACCTGTTTTTCACAAGGGTATGAGTTAGCAATTCTAACACTACTCTACGTGTTAGTAAATATATTGTAGATAATTAGAGCCCAGTTTCTCACTGTAGGTGCAAAAAGTTGCAAATAAGCAAAGGGAGAATGCTAGAATCAACCTTATGGTGCTGGGTTAGAGTTGGAAATATCAGTATGAACCCATGTCTACTTTCATATATCTATCCAGATAGGGAGAGAGGGAGAGAGAGAGGGAAACAAATAGAGATATGTGTGTATGTCTGAGTTTATATTCACACACACATTTCCAAGTTCTTTCTGCTAGACCTAGAAGCAATGACACCCCAGTATCAAAGAGCACACTTTGCACCTACATCTTGGTTTCTAAATACCATTTTTCAAGAAACAGAACGAGGGCGCTTGGAGAAACGGCTGACTCTCAGGTCGGAATGGAAAATACAAGATGCGCCTGGAACATCTTGTAGTGCCAGAAAGTAAGAAAGTGCTTTAAAAAAACCCAAAAAACAAAAGGACGGGGACATGTCAAAAGGAGCCAACTTGAAACAGCTTCCAATGGCCCAAGCGGGAGTGACGTGAGCAACAAAATGACGACAGCACTGGATTAAACCCCAGATGATGAAATCACCACCCACGGGTGCATACTGATATAAAAGGGGTTAAACAAACAAGAAAGGAAGGAAGAATGGAAGGAACAAATCGTCCCCACAGAAGAACTCCAAATAATAAATGTTAGATGGATAACATGCAATAGAAAATCTCCACTAGAATACTGCAGTAATAACTACCGTATGCAAGATTCACCGATGAACGCAAACACTCTGGATGAAACTCAGAGAAACAGTCTATTTGCGTGGCCTCAAAGTACCTCCCTCCAAATATTTATTGGTAACTTCTCTTAATTTCTTTAAAAGATCTACGACTATTTAAAGCGAAAAATAACACTGTACTGTGGGACTTATAACACAGGCAGCTGTAAAATTTATGACAGTAGCACAAAGGATAGAAGAAGGTAAATGGAACTGCTGCATAGCAGGGCTTTTACATTTTACATTTATCCAAACAGTACCCCACTAACTCTCAGTCAACTGTGACAGTACACATGCACATCCCGTCCCTTCCCCAGCCGCTAAGAAGTGCAAAGCTGTGTCACTGAAATGCTAACACAGGAGTTAAACAGAATACAGGAAAGCACTTGTACCAGACTGTTAGAGAAAATAACCCCAGCGCCCACCGACAGAAAACGACGAGCACACTGCAGCGCACGCACACAACAGAAGCAGCAGCTCACAGACGCAAAGCATGAAAATGCATGGGAGTCTCATAAACATCATGCTGAGGGAGACAAGCTGGATGGAAAATAATACATATTGTATGATTTCAGCCCAACTGAACCTACGGTGAAAAAATCAGAACAGCTGTTGCCTCTGGGGGAGGAAAAAATTGCCTGGGAAGGAACATGTGGGGATATTCTGGGAATGATGGAAATATAACACGCTTAAAAGGGGTGAAGGTTATATGGATGTATTTATTTGTCAAAACTGTACAGTTAAGGATTGTGCCTTTCAATGTATGTACATCTCACCTCATGAAGGAAAAAGAACTAAAAAATATACAGTGGAGGGGGGGATAGGTTGAAGTACAAATGAAAAAACCCAGCAGGATTAGGAGCTGTTGAAGCTGGGTGACATGTTTACTATATTATTCTGCTTATTTTGTACATGTTTAAAATTTTCTGTAATAAGACACTTGTATAAAAAGACAAAGTCAACCTACAATGTTAGCTGCTAAGGCATTGGTTACATTTGGGAAGGAAGGACAGAGAAAAGGAGGGTCAGGGGGCCTGAGTGACACTGGTTCTAGCTCTTGGTCACACAAATATACTCACTTCACTCTGTAATAACTCATCGAGCTTTCCATGAATGATATCTGCATGCATGTTATACACATCAATAAAAAATTTAAATGCTACATATTTGGACAAAAATTCTAACTCAATATCTCAGAATAACAGCAATATTTTGTTTTCTTTTAAAGTGGAACATGTTCACTCAAGGTGTCACCAGATGGGTTTTAATATTGCAAAGTATCTATTAATGCCCTCACCCTTGGGTGACCTCCTAGGTCTTTCCATTTTTGCCTCAATTTGTAAGTGGCATGGTGTTGATTTTTTATGATGCAGTTTTTTCCTGGCAAAGCCTCCTACCCCCAGTGGTGCTCCCAAGGCCATGACACCCAGCACAGCGCCTTGCACACACTGTGCTTTCAATACTTGTGGAATCAGGAACAAAGCAAGTAGAGGCTGGCTTGTGCAAAGGGTGGTGCGTAGGTGATGCAGGCGAGACTGTACGGCTGCAGCTCAGCACTAAATGTTTTTACATTTATTTGAGAAACTATTTGCAACTAGTTCACCAAAAGATGCTGGTTTAAAGCAGTCTTGGCCGCACACTACAATCACCTGGAGAACTTTAGAAAATACTGACTCCGGGGCGCCACCTGAGGGATTCTGATCTAACTGGTCTGTGGCAGTTTGGGTTTTGGGAATTTTAAAAGCCCCCCAGGTGATTCTAATTACAGCTGCAGGGGAGACAACCCCCCCACCCCGAATTCAGAGTCAGGGGTACATTAGCTGCAAGTGATTTCCATGCCTGCTGTGGGGATTTACCTCATTGCAACATTTCAGTTTGGGGTTTTAGGAAATATCTTTGCCTAAAATCAAAGGACTTCTTCAAGACTTAGCTGTTTGGCTAAATGGCAGCAGACGGAAATGTCTTCTCAGCAGATCTGTCTTTATATCACTTGCTTTCAGAGTAAGAGACTGTTTCAGGCACAGTAGTTTTAGTCTATTTTGAAAATCATAAATAGCCTACAAATACCAAAAAACGATAATAAGAATTTGCAAACATGTGGAGTGCATCATACGTGTTTTAAAATTTCTCCTATGATTAGAAATGAAAAATATATTGTTGGCTTTGATTTCCTAAAGTTGAATCTTTTCTTAAATTATTCAAGTCCTTCCAAAATGCTTCAGCACTCTCCTGTGGGGACTATTCCCCATAGTGAAGAGTACCAGGTGGGCACAGATCTCAAGGGAATCCTGCCTCTGCTGAAGAGTCCTTCTCCAGAGCCCGGGGTGAGGTGAGCAGCTGCAGGAGTGCAGTCTGGGGGCCGTGGGCGGCTCTGTAGTTGGGCAGAGTTGACCTGCAGCCCAGCCCAGCCACTTAGAAGCTGTGGGGCTTTGGACAAGTAACTCAACTTGGAACGTTATATAAAACTCATCTTCGAGAAAAGACATAATGACATTGATTGCAGAGAAGGCAGCAATTCTCCACCCCTCCTGCATCCGTGTTCTTTACAATGTGATTTTACAGCTGCTCCCATCCAGAGGCAGAATTTATTCCCCTACACGTTGGATTTAGGCTGGCCTGATTGGCTGTGGCCGTCAGAATGCAGTGGGTATGACACTGCTTTTTCTTTCAGAACCCTGCTCTCTCTATGAGAACAAGCCCATGTTAGCCTGCTAGAGAACAAGATACCATGGAGGAGAACCAAGGTGCCCAGTCGATGGCCAGCCAACCCACAGAAGCAGAGCCCCAACCACACACCCACGAAGAAGGCCAGTGGAGATCAGAATGGCCCAGCTGAACCAAGCCTAAACTGCTGAGCAGCTCAATCATGAGCTAAGTAAATTTTGGGGTTATTTGCTACACAGCAATAGCTAATTAACATGTGCACTCATTGCAGAGGAGACGCCAGGATTCAATACATGCTCATTTAGGGTGCTACCAGGCAAACGGTAGCACCCTAAAGATCCTGATGTCCTTTTCTCCTTATTTAAAGCTGGATCTCTTGAGTTACACAGAAAGACATGCAGACATGCGCTTGGTGCGTAAACGCACACAGGACCCCACACCATAGGAGGAAATAGAAACCACAGCCTGACCACTAGGGCCCAACGTCAGATTTCAAAATAAGGAGTTTGCCTTTAATTTATTCCCCCAAATCTGAACTCTGGAGGCAAGACTGTGGACAGATCTGAAGACGTGGGGTTCCCCCCGTTAGGGTCTCTCCTTCCTGTCACTCCTGTCTGATCTCTGGGAAGTGGACGGGCTCAGACCAAGCAGCAGCTTGGAAGCACAGGTCTACCTGTGGAAACATCCTGTTTGCAGCCCTCTGCTCTTTCTTGGGGTATCGTCTCTCCGCACCTTGGGCCTGTGGAGAGATGCTGTAGGGAGGGGGTGTTCTGTCGCCTCTGGCACACAAGGGGGTTCAGGTACCTCACTGCCCTGAGGTCAGAGGAGTCACAGTCCCGAGAGCTGCACTCTGCATGTGGCAGCCACTCCCACCTGTGGGCCCTGAGCCTGGGATGGGGTCTGTCTGAACTGAGATGTGCCAGACAAGCAAGCCACAGAGCAAATTCTCAAGATTTAAGTACAAAAAAATGAATGTAAAATATTTTATTAGTTTATATTGATCACACATTAAAATGATAATATTTTGGATATATTGGTTTAAATAAATAATATTATGATCAGTTTCACTTGTTTCTTTTTATTTTCTTTAACAATTACTAGAAAATTTTAAATTACAGACATGACTCCACCCTGTTTCTACTGGACACTGCTGCCTTAGAGGATTGTTTCCCTTTGCAAAGCTCAGGCTGCCTCCTCAAAAGACCACAAGCCAGGAAAGTTACGAAATCTGAAATTTTAAAATAATTTATTGTTTCCATTTGTGAATAAAGGATTTAATAAAGCTTTTTACCCCAATATAACCTTTAAAGTTTAATACTGAAATAAAATACGTTCATTTCAACATCACGCTGGGGTTCGACATTGTTTTGCACTGGGGCTTCAGAAGCAACACACACATTGTCCTGAGCCTCTAAACCTTTACTATTCAAAGCTTCTCAAGGACTGGCTGTAGGGCCCTATATTTCCCTTTTTTTTATAGCTTCTCTTTCTCCAGCATGATTAAGGAACAAGGCCAAGATTAAGTCTGAAGCTCTCAGAAATCACAGAATTTTTCTTTCTGTGGCTTACCGGCATTTTAAGTTTCTAATATCAGCAATACCAACTGTAGGCTGCAGCTGGGAAAAAGAATATGATGAATTGAGTCTGGAGTCACATTGCACCTAATTTTCACAGGCATGTGGATTTCCAAAGAGGGACCTAACTTCCAACAACCATAAGTTCCCAAGACTTAGTCCACACCAAGTATGAGATTGTGACAGTCCCCTGTGCCATCACTGATGTTGAAATGGGTCTATGTCGAGTCCAGGGCAGACAGAGCTGCGAAGTTGTGAAGTGAGCAAAACTTCACACTTTAGTGAAAGCAAGCATGCTGGCCAAGGTTAGCTGACTCAAGGTAATTTCTTTCGCTTTTCCAATGAACATTTTCAGGGAGAGAAGCCCAGCAACAATGTAAGAACGCCTTGATGTCCACTCAGGACTGTGACTGAGCTCAAGAGAAATAAAGGAGATGAAATTCACATTTCAATTGTAAACAAACATCAAAACATTTCACTGAAAAAATTTCAGACCCATAAATGCATGTATGTATTAATCATCACAGTAATTTGAAATGAAAGAAAATAAGGCACAAGTCACTTATGTGTTTCTTTTTCTCCTGCCCTTTATAAAGAATCGAAAGTTCCTAAGTACACAGATACTCTTTAGGAGGGGAAAAAAAAACCCTGCTGCTGACATCAGTGTGAACACAATACTGGAAAATTAGAGTTTTCATTTTCTATTTTGCCTGTATTGTTAACTTTTTAAAGAAGTCAAAGATATAGAATTCTACATCTCAGATGTTGCGTTTTTGTAAAAAATCTGAATGTAAAATACTTTATTTCTTCAATTACCAGCCAACAGTAATTGCACTTTGCCCATACACTTCCAGGAGGTGTGGGGAAATGGAAGAGAAATAACAAACATTGTTCCTATGAGATGGTCAACCCCGTGAGGGCAGGGACAGGGCAACAGCGTGTCTCCAGTGCACAGCATAGTGTCTGTCACATGGCAGGCACTTAATTAAGAGGGTTGACTGAATAAAGGAGGCCAAATACAGGTTGCCCCTAAAGTCCCAAACCATGGGCATCCTCACGCTGCCTGCACACTGACCTCTTCCTGAGCATCGGCCTCCAGCCCACGGCCAATCCCAGCTCCCTGCCTCCTGAGGGACGGTCCCGTCTCCGCACCTGCCTCCTGCCCCTCAGACTCTGTCCCAAGCTGTATTTGCACCTTTTACTCTGCCTTCGCTGCTCACAGCTCTGTTCATTCTGCTGCAGGCAGCTCTCCTCTTTCTCTCATTGGGTTTTGTCCCCTTCCTTTAGTAAAATAACTCTTCTTCCCCTCTCTGCCTCATTCACGTTTACTTGGGAAGCAAACATTCACCTGACAGCTTAGTATTCCCAGTTTTGGAGAAAGTAAGTCCAATTCTGGAATGAGAATCAGTGCCATCCACCTCCAGAGATCTCAAAAGTAGTTGAAAGTCCTTCAGGATCTCCAGAGAAATCTTTCTTTCTTATTTCCTTCTTCTCATTTTTTCTCAAGTACCAGCATTCAAGATAAAAACTTTTTAAAATTATTATGACAGTCATAAAAAAGAATGAAGTACTGACACATGCTACAACTTGCATAAACCTTGAGGACATTATGATGAGTGAAAAAAGTCAGTCACACAAGTCCACGTATTACATGATTCCATTTATAGGAAATTTCCAGTACAGGGAAATCTACAGAGACAGAAAGTAGATTAGTGGTTGCTTAGGGCTAGGGGAGGGGGCTGGGTACTGACAAATAGAAATGGCAATAGGATCTATTGGAGTACATGAGGAAGCCATTTGGTGTAAACCTAATTCGGCCTGACTTTGTTTTTCCAAAAGGACCTGACGAGGCCATTGAACATGCATTGTATATCTGCCTTAGACTTTCCCTATGGCAAGAACAGAGGTCCTTAAGACAAAGGTGCAACTTCCCCCACATTGGCATTTCCTTAAGGATAAGCATCTCTCCTTAGGCTAGGAACTGATTGCTGCGCTCACCTGTGACCACCCAGCTCCAGACAAATCGGAAATCATTGGCAACCCGGATAAAAGCCATTTCAGTGAAGTGGTGTGGAGGAAAGCTGGATGGGAGTGGATTCAGGAGAGAACGTGAGGAGAGGCAGCTTAAATGGAGAAGCAGAATGGTAAATGGGGAGGAATCTGGAGTCAAGGAGGCCTGTTTGTTTAATGCACAACATTAGGGCATGTTTATATCCTGATACTGGCAAGGGGTCCTTACAGACCCAGACTCCAGAACTCTGGGTCATAGCCTCAGAATTCCTCAGCCCCAAGTTTACTCAAAGTTACAGCTTTAATCTTTAAAATCTGTAAAATAAATGGGATTTTTGCCATCTATTTTATAAATAGGCACACCCCACAGAACATATCCCCAGTTAACGTTTTCCTGGAAGAACACGTTAGTGATACCCAAAGTGCACAGCAGGTATTTCTCTCTCAGTACAGTTTTCAGCTGATATTTATAGAGTTTACATTGAGTCTTCAAAAAACACATTTTAAACTAAATGGTTTGCTGGAGAAACTGCAGGCCATCAATCTTGCTAGTCACTTTATAAAGCTTTGGAGTGTGGATAAAGGAGATGTACACACGCGATGCCGCTGGGCTCTGAGAGGCCACTCCTGCTGCACAGAAAGCAATGTACGCTAACAACCGTATGACATGTGAGGTGACCAAGAGCAAGGTTTTAAGCATTTTACATCCTAACATGAAATTTGTAACTTCCATCGAGGTGCCTGATTGTGACAGGAAATTGATAGCGTTTTTCAATTGACTTGTGTCGACAAAAATAATCCATAACCAATCTATAAATGAAAATTTGGGAGAGTTATTCTGAGCTGAAATCTGAGGACCATGGCCCAGGGCCCTTCTTCCCGAAGGCAGACAGAGCACTGAAGTAGGGTGTACAGAGTGGTTATATACCCCCAAACAGGATGGTTCACATATGATTGAAATGTCCTTTTACAATAGTCGCGAGACTGTGGATTGATGGACACAGCAGGTAGGTCTTCTGTCTCAGTGAACACAGCAGGGTGGCAGGTCTGTTGTCTCCAGCTGGGTGGTCACAGGTGAGCTGGGTGGTCAAAGGTGAGCACAGCAATCAGTTCCTCGCCTAAGGAAAGATGCTTATGCTTAAGGAAATGCCAATGTGGGGGGAAGTTGCACCTTTATCTTAAGCCCACTTATTTTGGCCACAGGAAATGTTTAAAGCAGATATACAATGCCTGCTCTATGGCCACAGTCAGGCCCTTTTGAAAAAAAAAACACAAAGTCAGGCCGAATTAGGTTTACACCAAATGGCTTCCTCATAGACTCCAATATATCCTATTGCTTGCCATTTCTATTTGTCACTTGCTTGTGTGCTTTATAATCTTTCCTATTTAAAATAACGGGAAATAAGTTCTCTATAAAGGTTTTTCTGGGAGAAAGTCTGAGATTTCAGGCACAGATTACTGAGTAACTAACGGCAAATGACTTTCCAGCCTTGTTTTATTCGTAAATTTTTACTTACTTTGGAAACTAATTTTGCTACTTCCAAATCTTGTAGTAAAATTGATGTTCTAGAAAGATGTACCACAGATGTTCTGCTGTTTTGCATCTGCGCTGCACAGAATTGGGGCTGTGCACAGTCCAGTTTGAGAAGCAATGTAATGTTGTACTTAGAGTTAATCAGAAAAACTAAACAGAAAAACGACTTAGGAGAATTAGTACCATTGGTGTAATCAGCAGCAGAAACAAATTAGTAAAAGTGGTTCTGAAAGGATCTTTTAAAAGGGATATGAAAAGTGGTTCTAAAGAAAGCCTATTGTAGCACAGACATTGTGTATTGCCTTCCTGCACAAACTTTTCCACCGTTTTGGCAAGGGCCCAAGAGAACTTCTGTCCTGTTGGCCTGTGTTAATTAAGGCCAGAGGTCCACACCAGGATCAGAAAGTTCTGTGAACCAGCCAGACACGCGGCCTGGGTGTGGTTTCCTGAAGCGGCCTAGGGAGTCACTTACCTGTGCAGCTGAGTTTCCCATCTGTATAATGCAGGATTCAAGCCTTTCCGCTGTGCTGTTTTTCTCCTTTCTACAGCACGGCAAGAACAGTCACTCTAAGAGACCTGCCGGTCCAATCAGGCAGCCTGAGGGTCCAGGAGGCACTCAGAATGCCAAGGATCCAGGGGGAAGGATCAAGGCGGCCCAGCGGGATAGAGGGGATGGGGGGGGGGGGGGGGGAAACTGGCTTTCAAAAGGCAGGTTCCAGGTTCTCAGGTATTTCCATTTTAGGCAGTGCATTTACTGTCTCAGACACCCAACGAGGAGTGTATGCATGTGTTCCTAAAAAGCCTAAGCAACCACCAGACCTGCTAGTGGCCTCAACATGTTCGGGAGTGGCGTGGGGCTGGGCAGGGGCAGAGGGCGGA